CAATACTGCAGCGTTGGTTAGGACCGCTTGGTATAGGCTGTTGAAATCTTAGGTGATTACCCATAGTAAGAAACTTCATAGCTCAATATTCCACACTAAAGAATTTCATGTGAAAAAGAAAAAAAGGTTTAAAATCAAAAAAAGAATGCTTTCCACTCGGCTATCTAACCATAAAAGCCATTCCTTCCCAAGAAATTTACAGCTTATCATTCGTAGTCAAGAGCTTATAGCTCAATATACAAATTGTAAGAAAGTTAATGGAAAGAAAAAAGGTTCTAGAATAAGGTACTGGCCTATTAACTTGACTTTTTCTTCCGTGTACGCTATGCATTACATTTCTTCACTGAATTGCTAACTGGTTCGACAGCACAATGAATTTTAGAAGCTTCTGAGGGTTTCTTAAGCCAGTCGCTTTATCTTCACAACTGTCTCTAGCACCACTCAATCAACCCTAGGCATGAGCTGTGTTTTTGGGGTACAGACGGAACCCGATCTCGTGAAATGTTTGCCATGATTTCATCTATATTTAAATAAAATCTCAAGGAAAGCAGCAGGAAAACTATGTAGCTGGAGACGGTAACCGAGTTTATCAATGATCAAAAGAGTGATTATTAGTTAATCGATTTCCATTACCAGTTCTTTGGAGTGAGAAAGTGAAAATCATAGTGGAATCGGTAAAACTACGATAGAATCCCATGAAAAATTCCATAAAATTCACAATTCCCCTTTACTATAGCGAAGATAAATGCCCGTCGACATTCACATAAGTATTCGCTGGCATCAAAGCTGGGTAAATGAAACTTTTGGATTCCAAAAATCACCGGTGAGAAAGCTGACGACCCCCAAATTGTCGGAGAAAATGGTGTTTTCTTCCGAGAAAACTAAGATCGCGATAAATGGGGCGTAAGATTATAAAAATGACATTTGATATAGTAAGTAACAGAAAGTGAAGTAAGGTGTACAACAGCTTACATATGAGCGGATTATAAATGGGATACGAACAAACAACCACTTCCCTAGCTATCGAAATGAGTTTTTCCTCGCGGACAAAAACATTTCTAAACCCAAGCCGGTATTTTTACATATTTACCTATTCGCACTTTTAAAATACAAAAAAGCATGAACCACTTGAGTACATATTCGCAGGAAATCAGCCTAACTATTGAGGAAAACAGAGAAATCGAAAAAAAGTAGAAAAAACCTAAACCAAACTTCACTTGAGTACCTAAGAAAGGGTTATAGGGTTATAGTTGGGTCCTTCTAATCAGTCTCAGCTTGTAGAGTATGTTATTGGTGTAGATCGAGCTTATACCCAGCCGCTATCTTTTCCTGGCCTTCCAGTGCAAGAATCCCTGGATGAATGATGAAGCAGAGCTATCCAGCTCTGCTCTATAAAAGCTTTTTTGGTATTACATAATCCTACCTCATTGTCGGAAGGAATGGCCATAAATTTGGGGTCTCTATGGAGCCAGAAGGCACAAAAAGAGCCGCGAATTGTTCGAGAATGACTTGAAAACTGTGAAAAAGGTCGGGAATCAGTCTTTGAAGAATTTTTTCGTTCAAAAAACTGTCATTGAGCGAATGACCAACTGAAGAACCTTTTTTATGACCCAACCCAGGAAATTTCTCGAAAATCCAGCAGAACAAGCCTTGCTCATTTGTATAGCCTAGGAGGAACCCGGGACCCAAGACTTGGACTCGTTTGAGAATCTTGGAAACCCGATTTCCTCAGCATTTTTCATTAGTCCATTTATAAAAAACCCTCATAATAAACCTTTCAGACTATCTACTTTCTGATCGTTTCAGTTATGATTCCTCCCTTTCTGATAAAATACTTCTTTCTTTCTTTTCCAGAGTAGCCGGATTAATCTAAGCTATTTGTGACGGATTAGCTGAAGCAACCCTGTAAATCCACTCGACAGAGGATCGCATTCATCACGCCCCGAACTAAAAATGATCGGATATTGCTAAATAATCGATTTTGTCAAATAATGCATGTTGAGCGGCGACGAGAACAAAACGCCACTCGAGGCAGATATGGCAAAAAAAAAAGCTTACCAAAGAAAAATCTGATAGAATGGCTCTTTTGAACCTTCAGAAGCCCACCGTATTCCGAAATGAAAGAGAGAAGAAAAGAGAAAAAGTCTCGAATCAACAGAAAAGACCGAAATCACTGAGAATCTTTGACAAAAATCTGTACAGAATTGGATGTTAATGAAGCAGCTTCTTTTTGAAGACCGTTCAGTGGAAATGTCGGAGAATCAGGGACAACTGAGAGCATGGTCACCTGAGTGTTCACTTAAACGAAGCATTTTCCATCTCAGTCCTGAACAAGTGGTTGGGATGTACCAAAAAAGTAAAAAGTAAGTGAAAATGTGAAGACTTAAAGCGTAAAGCTCTCATTTCGTTCGAAAAAAAAAACACGAACGTTCGGAAATGAAAGATTTCGCGTGATTAAATACAAAAATACGACAAAAAATGTTGTGATCAAAAATATTTACTCATTTCTTCAGGATTTTGTAAAAATCACTTAGTCCTTTTAGTGAATTATTGTCAGTAAATAATCTTTTTCTGACAGTAAATAAACTATTTCAGACAAATCGAAAAAATTGGTAACGCCAGTCACTTGGCTTTTCCTGAGGTTGCGACGTGCACATGATTTCTAATTGGAATTGTGTGGCTCCTGTAAGCGTATCTTTATTGAATTTATTCTGAATTTTCTAGAAAATTTGAAAGTATCTGGGAAGTCGAAAGTTCTCTAAAAAGTCGAAGCGTTGGATTGACGTCAAAAATGTGGTGCTCAACAGAGAAGAGCGCAAGAAATAGCCATATGTCGATGGATATCCCAATGACGTTGTTCGAATTCTCATGGCAATGAAGTTATTCAGGCTCTTAAGAAAAAACGTCCAGTCGATGCTGTCCAAGGGGCGCTTGCGAAAGTTCGATAGAGCTCTTTCAAGATGTATGAAGATTTCTACGAAGTGAGACTTTTTCTGCCAACTAGCGAAGGACATTCTTCGTTTATTACCCAGATAAAGTGAAACTTTCTCACAAAAACAAAGCCAACATCAAATTTTAGGAATTATAAAAAAGCGTTTTCCAAATAAAATAGCTTTTCTGAAAGTTACTCGAGAAATTCTGAACCAAAGGAAGCCTATTCGACTTCCTGAACACGGAATACGAATTAAAACGTGCTGAGAATATTGAAACAAAGCGACTGAACAATGGCGGAATAGAAGACTTTCGAGACGGCGTTTTCCCATCAGAAAAACGTCTTTCTCATAAATGAGCTGGGATACCCGACTAAAAGCCCGGAATCCCCATCATACACTTTTCAAACCACCTTACCATCACTTATATTACTCACCGAAACACTGAACGCAGTGCGCAACCAGCTGCGCAATCGTCTGCGGTGCGTCACGCACCGATCCCATACACTTCTGGGCTCAGTCAGTCAGCCAGTTGGTCGGTCGTCGTCGACGGTAGTGGTCGCGCAGATCGCGTACAGGATCGCAGTCGGATGGGTGGGTGTACGGTAACGCGACGAACTGTCTCAGAAGTGCGTCTAGTCAATTATACTAGTCGTCGTCGCGCATCTCCAATAACGACCACATCGACGTCGACGAGCGAACCGATTCGCAATCGTCAAGTAGCCGTCAGTTCAGTTTAAGTACAAGCTGCTACTATGGTTGCTACCGATGCTGCTGCTGCTGAATGCTGCTGCTGTCGCCGCTGCAACGACGACGACGACGGCAGCATCGATTCATGGACAGCCCTCGGCCACGCCCCATCCAGCGAGACCAGCTTTTGGATGGCTGCCAAGTGAGACACACGCATACACACACGCACTCACACACACCAGCATACATCCATGCATGCACATACGCGTCGGCAGTCTCTCGTTAGTCGTCGTTGGTTCGCCCCTTTCCTCTCGCCCTCATACACCCTCCTCTTATCCCTCCGGCATTAGCTGTCGTCGTCGTCGACGACGACGACGGTGGCGACGGCGACGACGATGACGATGAGACGAATGAGCGTAATGACGGACAGAGCGTCTTTTAATGGCGGATTGGCTCTGCCGTCAATGCCGTCGTCTTACCGCCGTGGCTCATCGCCAGCTGCTCCACTGGACCTACGAATCTACAGGCGGGAAGATGTTGAAGGGCGATCTGTACCTACTAGGGAAGAGGGGACTCATTTCCAACTGAACAAATCCATCTGCAATCTGCTCAAAAGGGAAGGACTTCTGAATTGACTGACAAAGAACTGGACAAAGAAAGAAAGTTTCTCCCGGACTTGCAGAAATACTCTATGAAAGGGAAAAATGTTAATTTCAGTCAACAAGCGAAAGCTGGGGTGTAGGTTTAGGGACTGACGCGAATGCAAGGCTGATCATAGAGTTGAGAAGGGTACCAAAGGTTCAATTTTTCGAGTGCATTCAGTCACCGGTAGAAACTCTCGTTCCAACTGGGGCCTAAAGACAGATGACTTGCACTTCCAAAACGAAGCTATAACTCTTTGAATAATGGGCAATCTCTGTAAGCCACAAAGACTTTCCCGGAATATTAGTTTGAAAAATCAATTTTTCCCGATAATGAGTCCCATCTGTGAATGAAGGAATCCCGATACTCGAAAGACTCTCAAAGAGCAAAAGAAATCATTCTACTTAGACCTCGAACTATGCCAGAAATAGCTCCACGTGTTACCGCCATGTGCTACCACCCTGAGCTGTAACTGTAATCTCTCCTTTTCTTCATTATTTGAAAACGAATATTTACTTTTGCCCAGGTAGGTAGAAGGCAGGTAGGTTAACAGCGCTAAAAAAAGATTGACTACGATATGGCTGTATCCCCTGTGTACTCTTTCTCACACTCCACTAACTCAGCAGGAGGCGGGCCTGTCTGTTAGGGGCGTGAATTCCTGCTCCCCTAAAATCTCTCATTCGCGAAACTTCTTGTTGCCGCGATGAAGTTGGAACAACTTCAACTTGCTGTTCCTGGAAAGCTGCCAGGAAAACTAGGTTTCATCACAGAATACGGTTTTGAATTTTAGCTTCTTGACAATACAGAAACCTTGCAAAACAAAAACAATGGCGAGATGAAACTTCTCAAAAAAATGCTTTCCTACATAAAAATGCTGTTCCCATAAAGGACTGCCGTCTTTTGCCCAAGAATCCTTCACGTCTAACAAGTCCTTCGGCCGATTTGTAGTGGCAGATGACTATCACATGACTCAATCATTCAATAGTAAATGAAAAATCAGTTCCTCCTGGAGGTTTACACTTTTGAGGTAAGTAGTTGTCATGGGGTCTTTGCAATTTACGAGAAAATAAGCCATAAAAAACTCATGGCGCAACTTTGGAAGATCTTTTGCTAACAAGGAGGTATTCTCATTGTGTAATTTAAAGTATCCTACAAAAAAGATAGTGCTTGATGAATAATGTGCAGGTAGGCATCGAATTGAGAAGCCTCTGTCGAACGCTCTGCTACTTTCTGCTCTGACTAAAACTACCCTTTCTTAGAAAAATACGTTTCGTTGCTATGGAAAGTAGCCAATAGTAATGGTGAGAGAAGTTGCATCCACGTTGAGTGATCAAATGCGCCGTGACCACTAGGTCCTTTACTTACCTATAGTCAATTGTTAGGGACCAGACATGTATGGTAAGTTTAAAACCCACTTGGATATCTTCTAACCGCCAATTGTAGCGCGAAAACGTACGGTAGTCCAATTGCATCTACGATTAGAAATGAAAGTCGGATGCATGGCTCATCCAGTCACGATTATGTGACTGATTCGGGTTTTGTGATCGACGTCTGAACTTTTGAATGGAAAAATGTATATTTTTAATCTTACACCGAGATTAAAGCGTTCCAAAGGGAGGACCAGTTAATCTGATAAGCGCTGATTGATTCTAACTAGAGAAGCCATGCATTCGACTCTCGGTCAAAATCATTCGAAGCTGTTGGCTGGCAAGTAGCTTCTAGATCACCACTATTTGTTCCAATCGGTTCCAAGTTGATTTCGACTCGATCAATATTGGAGCAATAAAGACCAGGATGACTTGCATGCCTTCTCCTCTAAGGGACTGCGGAGAAGGCGACAGGCAGATTGGTGACTGTGCCACTTCTGAGTCATACCGAAAATGCCGCAGGATGGAAATATCAAAAAAAAAAAAGAAAAAAACTGACCAGTCCTTAAGAAGTAATGCAGATGGTAAAAAGTGAGACGTCTGAGTGCCGAATGTAGGTATCCGCACCTGAAACACCCATTTACTCGACTTACCAGAGGCTCTAGAGGCAAAGCCAACCCCACTATACTATTAATCAGCTAAAAACTACACATTAGGGGAGACTGGGAAGCCTCCCTGAACAGAAAAATAGGGGATTTCCCAGCATTGAGCCTCACAGCCAACCTCACAGAGGAAGGACAACCATGAGAATTCAAACGGCGTGAAGAGCTGTCTGTTAGAAAGAAGTAAAAATGAGCACGATGCAAAAACGATTCTTGGGAAAATAATCATTGGAGAAGATATAAAATCGAACCCCGAAGCATTTACGAGGGAATGAACGAGCTAAAAGAATAACGGGAACCCCTTGTGGTTGTGGAACCATACTGGGAGACACAAAAAAAAGACTCGAAAATTAAAAAAAAAGACGTATTATGATGTAAAAGCACATAATACTATGCACATTTATGCACAAAAGCTCCTCAATAGAGAAAAATCATAAAAAAAAGTGGCACATTCCTGTACTCTTTGCACCGCGTTTCGGGAAAATCTCTATATACACACAGAATGATTACATAAAAAATCTATGACATAAAAAGTAGTTTCGGCGGTATTTACTACGTCGATCACACGAGTCCACTTAGCGAAGAGTAAATTGACTAGTAGAAAAAGGCAAGATGACCTATAAACTATGCGCGATCTGGGCAAAAAATTCCATACAACAAATAAATCAAATCAGATCGTACTGATAACTTGGGCAATCTGGAGAAAATCGAGTAAATCAATTAGCTGGCTTCAAATGGAATACAATACAGAAGAAATGATATCGATTTTGACGTAATCGCATCTGAACAAACAGTTACGACATCGCTTCATCGTCTAATATTAGTGCACAAAGCCCTGCAGCGAAATGGAAATTAGGGGCAAGGAATTACTAATGACAAATTGCGAAAAAAATCTGAGCAACAAGTATAGTTAAAAATTGAAACGGTAGTGAAAGCAGTCAGTTATCCTCTGAGCCAGGTCATGATTCTTCTGCTGGCCGTCAACGGCTCGTCATGCCCTCGCACAAAGTTACTTGCTCGCTCAAGAGTCAACGATTTCAAGCGATGTTCATCTTCCAACCTGAACAAAAAAGGGAAAGCAATTATTCAACGACTGAAGCGAGTCTTCGATTTTTACCTTTTCAGGAATATATGTCGATATAAGTCGATATAATTACAGAAGGACAAAGTGCTTTCTACATCGAGGAAACAATTTTTCTGTTCGAGGAGGAAAGAGGACCCTATGAATGCATTCCAAGGGATGATCAAAACTCGCTCCTTCAAAGGATGGGTGTCAACCTCACTCCGCAGGCCAAATGGATTCATAAGCATAAATTAAAATGGATCGAAAAAGTGAAACTTTAAGTGCTGCTGTCATGTTTACAGATTTCCGACTAACAAAACGAAATAACAAGAAATCTTTTGGCAATTAAGCCTGTACCAACAAATAACCAGGATCACTAGAGGTCCGGGCAACCAGACAATTACTGAGTTGGGTTCTAAAAGGACAGGAGCAAAAGTCTGAATGAAACACATCCATTAACATCCAACTTACAGTTGTTCCTCAGTAGCGAACAGTTTTTGAATGAGATCATCCTTCTTTTGTATCGCACTCATGTATGATTCCATCAATGCATCTGTTCGATCCTTTTCTTCGGGTGTTTTGAAATAGTCTACAATACCAGGATATACTCTTCCAGTCACTTCATGACATCGAAGCATGAAAACCCGTCGGAACTTCCCCTATTCATTTTCAGGCCCAAATGGTAGTTCAAACAATGTGAACTTCCAAACTGCAGTTTCTTTATTCTTAACAAAAAAAAAATGCTCTAAAGCCGAAAAAAAATGCTCACCATCGGGAGTGCTTTTAGTCATGTCGTCAAGCTGTTGGTTAAGATCAGCAATATTACGACTAGCTTCCCTGAAAAAAGTGCCTGATAGTATGAGAAATATCATACGAGCTAATCTGATAAAATCGATAAAAAGCTGAGGAAAAACCTGATGTTTTCAATGATGTTGAAATACTCTTGCCGCCCGACCAAATGATTTTTTTCATTGGTAAGGTTCATGTAGGTCTCCAGCAAGGTCTGCTCTTCCGAACTACCTTGTTCTGCAAAGAACTTCCAATAAGAATCAGCTTTGCACAAGCATCCGAACAGAGCAGAAAAATGTTCAAAGAATTCTGGAGTCATACTGTAATCTCACCTGTTTCTCTGATCTTTGCCTGGATTGCATTAGCTTGAGCAGTAACATCACCTAGACGTTCCTGAATCCGTTGCTGCTCCAAGGTGGTGCGTTCTACGTCGTCAACATCTTTCTATAAAACAGAACAATGCGGGCTCAAAATTATTAAATGGTAGCATTCAGAACGATGGAAGCTTTTTCTTCCTCGTTGAGGACATGGCTGTTTTTAAATTCCTCTCTTCCAGTGCTAGTACCCCTTTATTCAACAAATTAGGATCAAGCGTAGTGGCGACATTTATGTGCTAAATGATGCACTCTTTTATTTTATTTCAAAAAGTGTTGCCCCTAGCTCTTTCCTCACTTCCCGAAAACCGTCTATGACGAGAGCTCTTGCACTTCCGGGAATGGCCAAACAAAACTCCCACTGGGTATGCATTTCTCAACAATGCGTTGCCCCGCACTGAAACCAGTTTGGGCAACGAAGGTAGTGTAATGCCCCATGTCCTAATACAAACTTGAATGAAACTGTAACCACCGAACGAAAAACTTCTCAAAATACGCTCTTGCATGTAATATTGAAAATTGGCTTGGGCTAAACTCAAAATTCAATTTATTCTAGAACGTGACTTCAGTTTCACTTCGAACTAATCTGTTGAATTAGAGGAATGTAGCGCATTCAGCCATATGTAACCCTCCGAGAAACAGTAACAAAAACAGCACAGGTAATTTTATACAAAAATCGCAAGCACACCTTTAACAATGGCTTTTGATTAAGTCAAAAACCCGAGTTAAGTTAAAACG